CTCATCTTGGGTCCAGCAGGTGCTAGACAACAGTCAAACAGGTGGTCAGCTGGGGTGAGAATCTACTTCAAAGTCATATAGGTCACCAAGACCACCATATCCTGGGTTGAGTACATTTTGTGGGGAACAAAGTACAGAAGACAATAAGTTTTTTTGAATTTAGCAGRAAACAGCTTTCATTTTGTTTTCTCAGAAATGGGTCCTGCAACTGTCTCTTCATGGAAGCTATAACAGAAAAACTAAGGTGGAGCCTAGAATAGCTGAAATGGAGTCCCTACAGCCACACCTGTTTGCTCCTATAGCCATAGTTACTCCATTCTGCTGCTCCAGCAAGGAGGGAACTGTTACAAGTGATCAGGTAGTTTTACCACAGCAATTGCTTTACACACCCAGGATCAGTCTATAACCTATACCTACAACTTATACTCGTATTGACTTTATTGATTAGTCCACACCACAACAAGAACAGGGCAGGGAAATATGAAAGCTTTCTTCATGCCCCCAAAGGATCTCTGATGGCTCAAAAAAAGTTCACCTCATTCACCTGTGCCTCCACGTTCTCGAGTGGAGCTCCCCATAGGTACACAGGACCAGGAGTCCTGGATTCTAGGACTTGGTTAAGTCCCTGACCTTCTCTGGGCCTCAGCATACGGAGGAGTCAGACTAGAAAAGGATCCCTAAGGCCTCTTGCAACTCTGACGCTCCAGGATTCTATGAATAGGGTTAGAGAGAACAGGGACCAGCTATTGCTTCCCCATCTTAGTAACTGTTGCTAGACGAGGGCCATCTCCTGGTAGGAGTGAAAACCCCTCTGTGAATCCGGGAGGTCCACCAGGCATCCCATAATGCATAGCGACTTCGCCTCGCTAGGAGGCACGTCTCGGTCTCTTTGGTCACGATCAACCCTTCGGATCCAGCCAGAGAGTGCGCCTCGTTTCTATAGCAACCGCGCCAGGTCCATGCGACCACGGCGGGTAGAAAGGGTCAAAATATATTCGCAAACTAGCATATCTAACTCAGGTCAGTCTCTGACTTTGGTGCACGGGCCCTTTAAGTATCACGTGCCTTCCCTCTGCCGGGTCCCCGCCTCTTTCCCCTCCCCAGGCCGGGGTGAGCGCTGGTGTGGACGGGAAGCTCCCGGCCCGGCGGACTAGCTGGAGTGCGGACGCTGCAGCCGGTTGGGCCGGTGCCCTTTCCCGGTAACTCCTTCCCGGCGTGACGCGCAGAGCCGCGGACGCGGCGGGGCCGGGCAGGCTCAGGGATTTCCCGTCAGTTCCTTCTCGTTCCGGTCCCCACTGGGCCCGGGGGGAACCGAGAGCCGACAGGGCCCAGCCCAGGGCTCTCGGGGGCGGCGGGGGAGGGGGCCGCCTCCTGGAAGGTTGCGACCTGTGGCTCGAGGCCCGGCTGAGACCTAGAGCGTGTCCCCGGGAGCCGCCGCCTGGTCCGGGGGATGCTGCCCCGAGGGCGGGCATCCTACCTGTTGGGCAGGTGGTTTCCTGCCCTGAGGCCCGCACCGTGGAGCTCGAGACTGTCWGCAGAGAACTTCACAGCCCCCGCCCCGCACCTCTAACTGAAGGGACTGGACTGACACAGTTGAATCAGGCAGCGCAGCCCTGCGTGGCAGAACTAGTGCTAATGCCGCCCCTCACTGTCGGCTCTGCTTCGTCTTTTACATACGTTTAACCCCCCGTGACGATCCTTCCAGGTGGTGATATTCATTCCCCTTTTATGAATAAGGACTCTGAGGCTTAGTAAGTTTAAGTAACTCGTCCTAGGTCACAGAGTGGCCCTAGGTCACAGAGTGGCGTAGGACGGTAGAGTCTGGCTCCCAAGCCCATGTGCTTAACCAGTAACCACCTCGCCTTCGCTTTTTTGTTTGTTTGTTTGTTGGACAGAAGAGGTTGTCTTTAGGAAAAAATTGCTTTAGGATTTGATTCGGCTTGCATGCAATTCTGAGCATTGGTCATCAGATTAATCGATTTTGTGGGGACTCCCAGGCAGCATTAGTCTTCCACTTATCAAAAATCCACTGCTGTTAAGCTTTGCCCCTTTTGAATAAAGCGTCACATTACACACTTGAACCTTAACACATAGTAGCTTATGAGATGTCAAGACACATGTGGCCCATGGAAAAAGCATTGTATGGTAAACACAGATCATAATCTTGGGATGTGAATGTCTGTGATACTAGCCCTAACATGATCATGAAACCTCCCGGAATATTTCCAAAAYCTACAATGAACCCAATCACTACACTCACCAGAGATAGAGCGAAAGACATTTTAAGACCAGGCCTATTCTTCACTCTTTGCCATTAGTTCTCCTTTATGTAGAAAACTAAATAGCAACTGCTTTTTCTCATCTGAAGTTTTCATTTGTAATGACCATATTGGTGATGATTAAATTAAAAAGAAGTTTGATTTTTTTTTCCTAGTTCGAAGGGACATGATGAGAAAAACATAAAATTGAGGCATRCTGAGACTTGCCTAGAGTATTTCACTTTTATATTTGTACTTACTGAAAGCCCAAGAACAGCATAGTGATTTCACTCTATAGTTCAGCACATGGTAAATCTTGTGACTTCATGATTTTATTTAACATAKTCAGTGAAGTCATCTTAAACCACATATTTTAAGTTTTCTGTCAGGGTAGATGAAATAATGTATTTGAGATATAGTTGYCCTGATTATCTTACTAATGTTTTCACACTCACTTATTTCTTCATCTCATTTTCAGTCATTTTTAAAGCTTTTCTAATCCAAGGATTCTAGAGAGTTGCTGTTATCTTTTCATCTATAATCGTTCTTAATTGTGATATTCAAGAGTGGTAGTGAGATTGTTGATTTTAAAAGATATGGTCAAACAGCTTGACATATTTCCCGCAAAACAGGTTTTGTTTATTTTGTTTTTCATCTATATATCTTATACCTTTACCTGAAAAGCAAGACTGTAGAGGTTTCTACCACTAAAACTTACTGCCTCTTCAATCATTTCAGCTCTGGAAAGGAAGAGAAATGGAAGTGAAAAAATTGAGCATTTCCTGGCAGTTCTTGATAGTTCTGGTTCTGATCCTGCAAATTCTGTCTGCGTTGGATTTTGACCCATACAGAGTCCTAGGGGTCAGCCGAACAGCCAGTCAGGCTGATATTAAAAAGGCTTATAAGAAGCTCGCCCGGGAATGGTAGGTGAAACAAAGAAATGGAAGTTTAATATAAGCTAAGAAGTCAGCAAAGGAATGAAGCCTCATTCATAATTGGCTTATATCTGTCTCTGTTTCCATGTTCAAAATATATATATATATATATATACATATATACACACGTATTTGTCTAGAATATTTATGTAGAACYAATGTTTATGTACTACAATTTTTAGTGGTAAGATTCAAGATYATATTTACTATGAATTCCCTTTTAGGAATACTTTGGCTTAAATTCTTCCCTTAGTACTGTTAGCATATTTAGCATTAAACTAAAGTAAGAAGAAACTTTGATTAAAAAAAAATGCAATCAACAATGGGTAAGCTAACCTTCCCATGATATGTTATTCATAAATTAATTCTTTATTAGTATAATTGCTAAGGGGAACACAAATATCATGTTCACTTAAAAAAATTAAAGTGCTATGGATTCAACCCAGGACCCCTCACACATGCTACGAAAGTGCTGTACCACTAACCTACCTCCCCAGCCCTAAATTATTAATTTTTCAGCTTTAATAAACAGTTTAGAGCCAGGCACAGTGGGGCACACCTGTAATCCCAGTGACTTAGGAGGCTGAAGCAGGAGGATAACAAGTTCAAGGCCAGCCTCAGCAACTTGGCAAGGCCCTGATCAACTTAGCCAGACCCTGTCTCAAAATTTAAAAAAAGTAAAAAGGGCTGGGGTTGTAGCTGATAAATGACCCATGGGTTCAATTCCCAGTAGAAAAATAGAGAAAGTTTCAAGAGCTTTTTGCCTTCATTTCAAAAAATAATATTCAGGAACTGAGTACATAACTATTAAGAAAAAAAATTTTAGTAAAAWAATTGTTTTTGTTTGTTGGCAGAATAACAATAAATCTAAAACTTATTTTGGATAGACATCATTGGTTTCTCCCATCAAAGGTTTGGCTATGACACAGAAGAATTGTTGGTTATGTAGCTTATGTAGCTATCAGGGAGAGGAGAAAAAAGTTTAGAAAGGACACAGGTTGAACCAACCATCAGCAGTGAAGAAAAGTTTGTAATAGGTGCTGTCATTGAGCACCTACTGTATACTAGCCTTCAGTTTTATGCATCTTATTTCATTGAAATCTTATAATTGGGGTTGGGGTTGTAGCTTAGTGGTAGAGTGCTTACCTTGCACGTATGAGGCACTGGGTTCAATCCTTAGCACCACATAAAAATAAATAAATAAATATTTTTTAAAAAAGAAATTTTATCATTAACCCATGAAAGAAGATATCATTTGCCCTGCTGTACAGATGAGAAAATCAAGGCTTGGGTTGGTAAAGGTACATTACCTCTCAGTTCCATGGTTTGATGTCTGTGCCATTAGTATTTTTTTTGGGGGGGAGGGGTCTTTTTGCAGTTGTTGTTTTTTTTTTTTTTTGCTTTTAATCATTTAAAGTATGGGTGAGTGGGTTAGTGTTTGTAGGGGAAGGATCTGAAGGGGAGGAGGGACTTGGGCAGGAGCAGAGCTGCCACGTGTGGGTGATGGAGTGTGACTCTGCCTGGCACCATTCTTCTTCAATAAGCAGATGTATCTTAGAATYGGCCTGGTTGCAATAAAGGTAAAAGAGTTTAAAATATAAGATTTTGAGCCAGATGCAGTGGCACACACCTATAACCCCAGCAGCTTGGGAGTCTGAGAGTATCACAGGTTCAAGGCCAGCCTTGGCAATTTAGCAAGGCCCTAAGCAATTTAGTGAGACCCTGTCTCAAAAAATTAAAAGGCTGGAGATATGGCTCGGTGGTAAAGTATCTCTGAGCTCAATCCCCAGTACCAATATGTGTGTGTGTGTGTGTCCATGTGTGCATGCACACACACATATATATACACACACATACACATACATTGCTCTCAATAACATTTCAAACTCTTGCTTTGTGTTTAAGGCAAAGTATACAAATCTGCAGTTAATCCATATGTATACACTTGGACAGGGAATAGCCTCGAATAGTAGTTTCAGAGCAGAAAGGATAGCTTGGGGACATGGGACCTATTAAATTGTACTGCTTTGACTTTTCTGTCTTCCAGAGCTGAAAGGGGTGTTATGATATTAATTAAATGAGTCATATGCTTCTCTTCTTTAATTAGATTCTCTCTAGGATTAATTCATCACCATACAAAAATATAGTGTCATCTAGTGAAAATCTAAAATTTTATTTTACTTTTGTGTCTCTACTATACTGTTATTTTCTGCAGCTTTGGCCATGGCAGCATTTTATCACTTGGAACAGTTTCCCATTTCACTTCATAATGGTTTCATAAACACTGAAAAAAGCTGTGTTTCCCTTGTAGAAGGGAGAAGTGGTTGTTAGATCATATTTTACTAAGTGATTTACTAACCATTTCTTAGACTTCACAAGAATCTTCCCTTGTTTGGTGAAACCACTTGAAATTATCTTTTTCCCCTCAGGAAAACTATGTTTCTTTCCCAATAATTAAGTTTTCTCCTAGGTACTTTTCATTTGTCATCCATATTAGCAAAATAAAAGGGTCCTTCTACCCCAAGAAAAACAAATTAGTATGGCATGGCTCAGGCAACTGCATGGTTAAATGATTTCGTCTTGTTCTCTGCTGTATTTTTCTGTCTTTGTTTTTATTCCTTTAGTGTTTAAGGCCAAGGTACCTCCTCGATAGCCAGGAGGTACCGTGCACACTGTTCTCTTCACTGGAATTTAAAGGTTGCCTATCGTTAACAGCTCAAGAGATAATTTCATATTCATTGAAAACAGCATTGGAAATACTTTCTTAAGGCTCAACTTATCCTTTTCTAAGTGTTTTCAACTTTGYGGTATCTTCCCACATTTAGGAAAATGCTCTTTCTAAGCTGACACTGTCTTGTGCTCTCCCTGGTTCTTAAGCCTTGGCCACCTTGTCGCAGGATCCATGTTCCCTAAGCCAGCCATCCTTGAGATTTTGCTTCAGTCTCCCCCMAAAAATCCCTTTCTACCCTTCTCCCCCAAATTCTTTTTGTTAAATCATTTGTATGACTGCATAATCTTATCTACTCAGCCTTTAGCCTGAATTTGAAATTGGAAACACTTTGTTTTTTTTTTTGTTTGTTTGTTTGTCATTCAGATCCCTTCTGTGGAGCCGCCCTCTCACTTCCTTAAGTCATGCTCTTTTCSTCACACCTAGCCAGGATGTTTTTCCCTGACTAACATCCATAACAAGGGTTAAATAGTGAAGGAGGCATGATGTCCTCATTCAAGAGCAACCATTTTGAAGTTTCCTTGTTTTTAGAGAGACCAGAATATGTGGTGTAATTAATTCAAGCATATTCTGGCTAGAATAAGTTTGTCAAATTGTAGTTTTTTAAAAAATTATTATTCCAAGACACATGATGTGTTTTAGTCATTTGCTTTCCTGTGAATTATTTTCCTTTCCAGGACCTTTGCTAGGGGAGATTTAGTAGAGGTTAATAAACAAGGTTACATAAAGAAGAAAACTCTTGATATACAGGATGTCTTGAAAAATTAATCTATACAAAACACAGATTTAGATCTTGGTGGGTTGCATGGAAGTAAACGTAGCCCCAGCTCCCTAGGGCTTTAAAAGCCCCAAAGCTGAAAYTAGTATAAACACTAAAGGGTCATAGAATGATACATGACTTTAAGAAGATGAGACAGTTCATTACCAGCTGTAAATAACAGCAAATGTTGAAGATTTTGTTCATATCAGTTGAAGTAACTCTGCAAGAATGATAGACGTTTTCACAGCTTAAACACGTGGCCTTGGAAAGTCATTATCCTTTCATAGGTAGAAGGCAGAATGGACAACCAGAGTACTGATGAACACTAAAGTGTTCTAATTTGAAAGCAGCAAGATGCTGCTGGAAACCTGCATTACTTTCATCGCAGAACCTTAAAGCTGTTTCTTAGGCTTGCCTGCGCTGTCACAAGACACACCTGCATCAGTATCAAGCTAACATGAGGGAACACTGCTGTCCTGAGAGAAAACACCTGTTCTTCAAGGATAAGTGATTTAGCCTGAACCCACTTGAGCAGCGTTGGGGAGCAGAGCAAAGACAGGCACGTGTCCTCCATCTCAGTGAAGTGCCATGCTATCTGGCACTTTGAAAATTTGCCCAGCTGGGAGGAAATTGCCTATTTCAAAATTTCATTTATTATAGCCATGTGAAGCAAATGATTGCTTCTACCATTTATTTTAGGAAACTGTCCTAACAAAATGTCTTCCATTTGCCTCTGATGTGGTGAACTGTGTATGTAAGGATGTTAAGTAATTGTGGGCAAAGAAGGAAACCCTGTCTCACTGGCTACCCGTCTGTGTTTCAGGCATCCCGACAAAAACAAAGACCCTGGAGCAGAAGACAAATTCATTCAGATCAGCAAGGCTTATGAGGTACTATGTCAACCTGTGGTGCAGCCACAAGTTCTTTGACTTGGGTGGTCAGTTCTAGAATGTCCTTTCTGAAAAGCATGCTCCGAGCCGGTTTCTGAAAAATGGTGGAGAAAACCTACTTGCCACATCCACTATGTTGAATCATGTGCTTGATCATCAGCTCTTAAAAAGTCCAGCCTATTTTATTTTTTTTAATATTTTTTAGCTTTAGAGGGACACAATACCTGTATTTCGTTTATTTATTTTTGTGCATTGCTGAGGAGGATCGAACCTAGTGCCTTGTGCGTGCCCCAACCCCAAGTCCTGCCTTTTTTGGGGGGTGGAGTACCAGGGATTAAACTCAGGGACACTCAACCACTGAGCCACATCTCCAGCCCTATTTTGTATTTTATTTAGAGACAGGGACTCACTGAGTTGCTTAGCGCCTCGCAGTTGCTGAGGCTGGCTTTGATCATCCCGAGCCGCTGGGATTGCCTGCACCATCTTGACCACCGAGCCCTGCTAAGTACTGCATTTTTTTTTTTTTTAATTTTTGGTAGTTGTGTATGAACAGCATGCCTTTGTTTTATTTGTTCATTTTTATGTGGTGCTAGAATTGAATGCAGTACCTCAGACATGATAGGCAAGCGCTCTGCCACTGAGCCCCAGCCCAAGTCCTGCCTATTTTAAAGGTTTAATTAGAATTGTAAAATTGCCCAGAACGTGTCTTTATTACCTTTATAGAAACTTACCTTAAAGAATCATACTAGGTGGGGTGGCACACGCCTATAATCCCATTGGCTTGGGAGGCTGAGGTAGGAGGATCACAAGTTCATGCCAGCCTCAGCCACTTAGCAAGGCCCTGAGCAACTTAACAAAACCCTGTCTCAAATAGAAAAGGGGGGTGGGGCCGCTGGGAGTGCGGCTCAGTGGTTAAGTGTTCCTGGGTTAAATCCCCAGTACCAACAAAAAGAATCGCCACCATTGTGCCTATGTTTATTGACAGTGACACAGTGCCCAGATACCTTTAAACACAAGGTTTTCATTAATCTTCCAGCACAGCAGCTCGAGTAGCTTGGTCTGGGATGAGCTTAACAGAGAATTCAGCAAATACAACTGAGCCCCTAGGTTTGTTACCAGACAGGGGTCCAAGGAGGTCCCTTCTGAGAGGCAGTGTCACTTTGACTTGGCCCAGATAGAGTTTTTGTTTGTTTGTTTGTTTTATTTTTGGGATTTTTTTGTGTGTGTTTTTTAAAATTTTTATAGTTGTTAGATGAACACAATATCTCTATTTTATTTATTTTTATGTGGTGCTGAGAATCAAACCCAGTGCCTCACATATGCAAGGCAAGCGCTCTACCCCTGAGCTACAAACCCAGCCCGACTTTTTTTTTTTTTTTTTTTTTGGAATGGACATAATTATTATCTATCCAGATATTGAAAGTGAAGTGAGATGTTTGACATTATGGAGCAACATAAATAGAAATGTGCGTCATGAATTCAGTGGATAGGCATTAATTCATTTAATGGGATCTACTGAGACCTCATCCATGTTAAGGTTGGCATTCGGTGTGGGATACAGTGACAAATGAAACACTCCCTGCTTTCAAGGAGTTTTGTTTTTTGTTTTTTGATTAGGTATATATGACAACAATTGCATTTTGATTCATTATACACAATTGCAGCACAACTTTACATTTCTATGATTGTACACAATGTAGCATCTCACATGTTACTAAGGTAACGATGTCTGTCTCATTCCACCATATTTCCCGCCCCCATGCACCCTCCCTACCTTCCCTCCCCTTTGCCCAATTAAAGTTCCTCCATTTTCCCTGCCTCCCTCCTCCACATTAAGGATCAGCAACCACTTATCAGAGTGAACATTCGGCCTTTGGTTTGGGGGGATTGGCTTACTTTGCTTAGCATGATATTCTCCAACTCCCAGATGGACTCTTAACTTATAGCCCGGAAAAGAGGAATTTGAGGGTGTGTGGGAAGGAGGGCACAGGCAAAGGTTGGTCAAAGGGCAGCGAAGCAGAGGCAGGGCAAGGAATGAGCCCTCTATGTGGAGGATTTTGCTGGGAAGAGAAGTGCGGATTCCCAGGCATACTTTTGTGAAAATCAAATTCTGTGTCAATCATTTGATATCCGGGGTTCAGGGTGTTTCATGTGTAAGCAGTCCAGCCATAATCAGTTGTGGGCACATTGTGTAGGTCTGTGGATCTGGTGACATTTATATCGATTATGTTTTTGTTCTGGTTGATCTGGTACAAACGTGCCCTGGAGGTTTTCTTCACCTAACTAAAGTGACAAGCATGGCTGGTCATGCTCATAGATCCGGGTCTCCATCTAGTAAGGTTCTCTTGCTCTATCCCTAAGAGCCCACCTGTATCAGCTTGACTCATCTTCCTAAACAGATTCTCGAATGCTAGATGTCAAAGGCATTTTTAGGTAAAACAAAGCCAACCAACCCACAGGCCCTGGACTCAATTCTGTGGCTACTCTTTGGGACTCACAGCTTTCCCTACCTTGACCTGAACTTTCCAACCTCTAAAGTATGACCAAGTTAGTTTTCCTGTGACTGAGCCCTGGGGGTCAACGCTATGTTAAGTTTAATCTATTTTACTGAAGGGCTCACTGCCTAGATCAAAGTCTTTAATGCTGACACAGGCATGAGTATCTGAACACCTGAGACACGTCAGCCTTGAGTTTTCTTCACTGTTTCTTTCTCTCTCTCTCTAATTAATTTTATTTTTTTACATAAACGGAGCACAACTTTTCTTTCCCTGGTTGTACGTGATGTAGAGTCACACCATTATTACCCATACCTAGGGGTGATAATGTCCATCTCATTCCACCATCCCCCACCCTGCCCTGTTTCTCTTGAGAGAAGTTTCTCGTATGTTGAGACTGTGTGTTTAGAATGTCTAATCATGTCTTATTCTCTACATTTATATTCTTCCTGCTTCTCAAACTGTTTAAGAAAAGTCCTTTAGTTTAACCTTTTTATGGATTAGATTTCTCATCTTTCTTTCTTTCTTTCTTTCTAGATTCTTTCCAATGAAGAAAAGCGATCCCACTATGACCACTACGGCGATGCTGGGGAGAGCCAGGACTACCAGAAGCAGCAGCAACGGGAATATCGCTTCCGCCATTTCCATGAGAATTTTTATTTTGATGAATCCTTCTTTCACTTTCCTTTCAATTCTGAGCGGCGGGACTCCATCGATGAGAAGTATTTATTGCACTTTTCCCACTATGTGAACGAAGTAGTTCCAGACAGCTTCAAGAAACCCTACCTCATTAAGATCACCTCGGATTGGTGCTTCAGTTGTATCCATATCGAGCCTGTTTGGAAAGAAGTAGTCCAAGAACTGGAAGGACTGGGTAAGATAATTCTCTCCATTGGGGGAGACGTATTCACCAGGTGACTTTTATGGGTCTCTGGGGGAAGGGAGCAATGAGCATGATTTCTCAGCACATGGTGATCAGTGCTTTCCAAGGGTACATTTTTGCAGAGGGTAGATGTGTAAGCAGCTTTGGTTTTGCATTACTGATTGGAAGCTTTATAGATACATTAAATGCCTACCTAACACATAAAGAAGCTAACAAATTAATTATGGTTGATTAAAGCAGCCCCCAGTATTGGGGTTTGTTTTGTTTTATTTTGGTTCTGGGCATTGAACCCAGGGGTACTTTACCACTGAGCCACACACACACCCTGCCCTTTTTATTTTTATTTTGAGACACACTCTTACTAAATTGCCAAGGCTGGCCTCAAACTTATGATCCTCCTGCCTCAACCTCCTGAGTCACTGGGATTACAGGTATGTTCAACCACACCTATCTTCAAGCCTCAATTTTATTTATTTTTTTTTTTAAGAGAGAGTGAGAGAGGAGAGAGAGAGATAGAGAGAATTTTTAATATTTATTTTTTAGTTCTCAGCGGACACAACATCTTTGTTTGTATGTGGTGCTGAGGATCGAACCCGGGCCGCACGCATGCCAGGCGAGCGCGCTACCGCTTGAGCCACATCCCCAGCCCCAAGCCTCAATTTTAATGCCAGTGGGTACTGCAGATGCTACGGTACTTGTCATTTCACTGTGCATGAGTTTTCTAGGGCTGCCTTAACAAAGTGCCACAGCCTGGGTGGCTTAAAGAAGAGGTTTATTTTCTCATAGTTATGAAGGCTAGAAGTCTGTGACCCCAGTGTCAGTACATTTGGTTTCTTCTGAGACCTCTTCTCTGCTGGCAGATGGCCAGCTTCTCATTGTGGGGCCGCATGGTCATCTCTCTGAGCATCTTTTTTTGTATCTTTACCTCTTGTAAGGACACGTCATTTTGGATTAGAGCTCATCTTAATGGGCAAGTTTCACTGAATTCCTTCTAAAAGTTTCACTCTTAGCTCAGGCTGCCACAATAAAACACCACAGGCTAGGTGGCTTAAACAGTAGGTTTCTTTCTCACAGTTCTGGAGGTTGTAAGTCCAAGGTAAGGGGCCAGCTTAGTTGGGTTCTTGTGAAAACTCTTTTCCTGGCTTATGGGCGGCCATCTTGCTGTATCTCATATCTCTTCTTATAAGGCCAATAATCCCATCATAAGGATGTCACCCTTCATGACCTAATTTTCTTCCTCTGGCCCCTGTCCAGATAGCATCATAAATGGGGTGAGGGCTTCAACATAAGGATTTGGGGAGAACCCACATTCAGCCCATAGCAGTCTGCAATAGCTGTAGGGTACACATTAACCTCTCTTTCACCCATATTTACTTCTTAGTGCCAGGAAGATAGTAGTGATTCTACTATTTCCTAAAAGTTGGAATTACTGAAATAAGTATGTGTATGCTGTGTTTTATAGGCATTAGCAGACCAGTTCCTCAGTACTTAAAAGGGAACAAACTCAACCCTAGGGGCTGAGGGGCCTGGATTTCTCTGGAGAGAGCAGGCTGCTGGAAATCATTGGTTCATTTATTTTACAACAGATGTTGAACCTGTTGTCCAGAAGCACTTGGGTACTCAGATTTGGTGGGGTGCTTTCCTGAGACTGACTGAAGCTGCCCTTGAAGAAGCTGAGGGGCAGAGTGTAGCAGGGTCTGGCGTGTGGTGGGCTGTCAGTGGATGCTTAGTGTGGCCAACTGTGAATGAATGAGATTCTAGATAAGGTGGAAGTCACAGAATCAAACAGCTCCTTCATCACAAGGCATAGGTATGTCTCATGCCATGCTCAGTGGTATACTGAAAACTAATCCAGGAGCTGATGTTGTCCTAGAGCATAAACACTAAGCCACTGCATGGTTAGGACCAAAATCAAATCAGGGCCCAAACTGCATTTTAAACATGCCAGACAAACATAGGTGGTGTGAGGCAGCACAGCACAGTGGTCATGGCTGTGGGCTTAGAGATCAGGTGGACCAGTGTTCACATGTCAACTTGTCATTTACTGTCTTTTTATCCTTTTGAAATATTATCTAAGCCAGGTTTCTTCACCCCTAAAGCAGGAGCAATAATGTCAAACCAGCCATATCATTATGAAGATTAAATGAGAAAAACTTATGCCAAGTGCCTAATAGATATTAAGCACCTAATAAATGAAACTTAGGGAATTTCTGATTAACTGGGTTTTGTGGTTTACCAAAGTAAATTTGGGGGTTGGAGGTGGGCAGGGGTGGTACTGGTGACTGAGTCCATGGGCACCACCACTTATCCACATCCCCAGCCCTTTGTATTTTAAGACAGGCTCTCATTGAGTTGCTGAGGCTGGTCTCAAACTTTTGATCCTCCTGCCTCAGCCTCCCAAGTCACTGGGATTACAGGCATGCACCATTATGCCTTACACCAGAGTAAAACAAATTTTTTAAAATATTTTTTAGTTGTAGTTGACACAATACCTTTATTTTATTTACTTATTTATATATGGTATCGAACCCAGGGCCTCACATATGCTAGGTGAGCGCTGTACCACTGAGCGACAACCCCACCCCCCAGAGTAAAAATTTTTTTAAGTGTCTGTTATACAAACCCCTTTTGAAAACTCTCTTAGGTGAATTACTCCACTATCTTCAAGCTCATTAACTGCAGAGCACTGCTTTTGACTTATGTTGAACTGACTGAGCCTTGAAGAGGTCTGGAAGCTGGCTGGGCAGAAAAGTGAGGAGTGGCGTCCAGCCGCAGGAGCAGGGCAGCAGAGAAACAGGAGCACCCACAGACCAGCTGCAGCATCGTGGCCGGGCGAGGCTGTGTGGGTGAAAGAGGAGGAAGCAGGAAGAGCAGCGAGGAGCCAAGCAGGAAGGAGCCTGGACTCCAGGCCAGGGGAGCTGGGCTTGATGCTGTAGTGTGTAATAAGGCCAGTAGTACAGGATAGGGTCTGTATCCAGAGGAGTGGCGTTATCACATCTGCACTTCAGAAAGCCTGCTGGGAAGGCCATTTGAAGGGCATTTGAGGAAGGTAAGAACGGAGGCAGGGAGTACTCCAGCCCTGGCAAGAGAGCAGCCACTGACCTGGACAGGGCAGCAGGGAGAGAGAGATGGAAAGTGCAGGCTCTCCTGGAACCATTGAAATGTAAGACATGAGAAAAGAGGAGAGAGGGGTCAAGGTGGACTCTGCACTTGAGCTACCAGGTTTCAGGGAACACAGTCGAGAGCCGAGGCAGCAGGGGAGAAGTGGTCAGAAGTAACTACTGCTTGAGTGGTCACCATGACACACACTGGCACAGTCATGACGCCAGCTCGCGTCCACCGAGTGTGCCGTACACCAAGTGTGCCGCACACCCCATGTCGTTATCAGTGCAGCTCTTATTAGACAGCCTGGAAGACAGGAAGTTGAACGTGTTAGGTTAGGGGCTGGGGCTGGGGCTCAGTGGCAGAGCACTTGCCTAGCACATGTGAGGCATTAGGTTCAATTCTCGCACCACATAAAAATAAATAAAGGCCCACCAACAACTAATTTAAAAAATGTGTTAGATTAATTAGGTTTATGGGACATTTTCCCTTTTGGAACATTCAGATTGGCTGAAGATTCTTGACAGCTGGTTCTACTTGGTTGTAGTTTGGTGACGTTGAGATGAGGTCAGGACCGTCCCCATGGCTGTTCCCCATCTATGAAGTAACAGCACACCTTAGGAGGTTGCTGAGAGAATATTTCTATTTTGAATCGCCAGGAGCAGCACAGCCTCAGAATTAGCTGAGTGATCTGGGGAAGCTTGGACCTCATCTTAGAATTGGTCCCTAAAATGCAGCATGTGGAGGAAGTAGAACAGTTCTGCCTGGAGCAGCGGTGTCACGCCTCTTTAGGGTCAGTCGACAGCTGTGCAACGTTGAAATAACCAGTGTAGAAAAGCAGCCGCCATCAACCGCTGCCCCGGGAAGGAGGGCCCAGAAATGGTCAGCACCATCCCCAGCCTCAGGGAGTGCACCCCTTAGTGTAYGCAGAGAGTTAACATGGACCTCGCATTTGCAAATGCAGAACAACATACTGCTGAAGGAGGAGTAGGTAGGGGGACCAGGGAATTTGTCCCACATTCTGTTTTTTGTGTTTGTTTTGTTTTTTGGTACAGGGGATTGAATCGGGCGCTGTACCACTGACTGCATCTCCTCAGTCCTTTTTTTTTAATATTTATTTTTTAGTTGCAGTTGGACACAATATCTTTATTTTTATGTGTGCTGAGGATCAAACCCAGGGCCTCGAACGTGCTCTACCACTGAGCCACAATCCCAGCCTGCCTTTTTCATTTTTTATTTTGAGATAGGGTCTTACTAAGTTGCCYAGGCTAGCCTCAAACATGTGATGCTCCTGTCTTCAGCCTCCTGAATCCTTGGGATTACAGGCATGTGCCACCACACCCAGTTTATATTCTCATTTAAACCTTTTTTCTTATCAATTTTTGTGTGCCAATTATTACATTAGGCACTGAAGAATATGTAGTAATAATTTTACTGGTTGAGCATTTCTTTACCTTCCATTGTGCTAAACACTTGTATGGATTATCTTTATCTGCAAAGCAACCCAGTGAGGGAGAGGCTATTGTTATCCCTATTTTATGAATGTAAGAACAGGCAGAAGAAGGTTAAGGAATAGATTCAAGGTCACACTATCAATAAACAACAATGGTGGGGTAAGGACCCAGGAGTCTCACCCTCTTAGACACCACACTGTGAGCACTGATTCAGAAATAAGAAAGTCCGGCCCAGTGCGGTGGCATATACCTATAATCCCAGAGGCTTGGGAGGCTGAGGCAGGAGGATCACAAGTTCGAATCCAGCCTCAGAAACTTAGCAAGGCCCTAAGCAACTCCATGAGACCCTGTCTCTAAAGAAAATATAAAAAAGGGCTGGGGATGTGGCTCAGTGGGTAAGCACCTCTGGGTTCAATCCCTGGTATTTAAAAAAAA